CCAAGATGTTTCAAGTGTGGCAATAGCCACGCTGGTGAGAGCTGTAATATTGATGATGATGATGTTGTGCGTTGCTTGTGTTCTGGTTCTCACTATGCAACAAATAGAAAATGCCCAGAGTTTGTAAGACAGAAATTTATAAAAGAGACCATGGCGAAAAATTGTGTTTCATATGCTGAAGCATTTAAATTACATCCTCCAGTTATGAAATCCTATTCTGAAGTGTTATCTTCCACATTAACTCCATTGTCTCCTACAAAACAAAAAAATACAAATTATAATAATGTAAACAAATCTTCCTATAAAAAAACATATTTTGTGAAATCAAATCCACCCAAAAAGAACAGCATAGGGTATGATAAGGTAGCCCATGCTGCATTAACTCAGAACTATGATATCCCTCTACCATCAATTGGCACCTTAAAAATAATCCTTTATCTACTTTGTCAATAAAAGATTTAATTATTGTTTTAATTAACTCACTGTCTCAACAAAATAATTATTTGGAACCGTCCAACGCTGCTATTTTAAATATGAATACTTCTTTTCTTTTCTTTCTTCTTCTTTCAACGGGCGTTTCCGCAACTCGACATCCTTATGGCGCCTGTTTTGCGTTAGGAGGGTGTATAGCCGGAATCACTCCAGCCAGCCCAGCTCCATCAGGAACGACCCCAGGGCCTTCACATTGGTGACTGCCGAGGTATTTCGCCCGGTATACGGCCACTCCGTTGCATTCCAGCAGAACGTGAGAAGCTGTTTCTTCTGCCTCCATGTATCCTCTGCATAGAGGGTTGTTCGTGACACCTAAGTTAAAAAGATGTCTGTTAAAATGTGCATGTCCGGTAATAGCACCTGCTACTATGCGCAATGTAGGTTTGCTTAGCTGTGAAGAGTTTTGGAGAAGACAGCGTTCACCCGTGGCAAAGCGAGCTTGGTCTGCCTGAACGTCTCCAGATCGAGCCAGTGTTGTTGGTGTAGTGCGGCTGTGTGGTTGCAGATTTTATTTACGTGACAGCTTACCGGTATCGGGACGATTGGTTCGGCACCTGTTGGGATTGATACGGACCCCTTCCGGGCCAGCTCGTCCGCAGCGTCGTTTCTGCGTGATCCACTGTATCCCTTGATCCATTGGATAGTAATAGAATTGCTTTACCCTACCGTGTTTAGGGTTTGGTGGCATTCTTGCAGGAGGCTCGATTTGACTTAACAGTCATCTAGAGCTTGTAGGACTGATTTGCTTTCATGAGAGCCTTGTGTGATACCTTGGGATCGTTGTCATCCAGTAGATGTATAATGTGCTTTTTGTCAAATATGAAGGCAGGCATTATTTTTTGGGGAAGATTGTTAAAGGCGTTGCGGATGTCTAGCTACACCGCAATAGCAGTCTCTCCCCGACAAGTGGCCGCCTCGGTCCACCCCTTCAAAAGGGCCACCACCTCCACCGTGGACCGGTTTCGCCGGAACCCGAACTGGTGCTCTACCAGATTTGGGTCCGGCTCCCTCAGGTGCTCGATGATACGCCCCGCCAGAATTCTTTCAAAGAACTTCCCGGCGTCATCGAGCACCATTACTACCGCGGCCCAGGTAGGTACTCTAGGTACACTAGATCAAGTTTTTGATCTGTTTCTTTTTTTTCATTATTGTTAGCTTTTAGAAAGCGTTACCACAATACTAAACATGTATAATAATCTCAGGAAATAATTTAATGAGCTTTTATATCATATGACTTTTGTTAGAATTCAAGATTAAATATCTTGGTTCCGATATTAGTTATGGAACTACTACTTTGCTAAGAACAATTCACATATATAGTACTATCAAACAATCATAATTAGTTCAGTGGCCGCTGTAAAAAAAAATCAAGCCAACCTCCATACAAAATTATCCAATCCCCTTTCTGGGAATCATTCTAGATTCCAAATTAACTGGTTTATCACATTGCTATTATGTATCAGCTCGATGTGAAAAATTATTAAACATTTTAAGATGCCTATCTGGTGTTTGGTGGGGAGCTCATCCATCAACACAAAAGTTAATATATAATGCTATTGGTGTCAATTCTGGTATGATTCTCTAAAGCTAAACTTAAATTTGACAACAGTGTATCTCTGTCATTCTCTATACAGACTGAAAAGGACAGACTGATGTCAAATTTAGTTTTAAGTTTAGAGAATCCTGCCAGAATCGACACCAAGTATTCTTGATTATGGAACTTGCTTTCTGGAGCCCTGTAGTGCATTAGCACTAAGTAAGTTAGATGGCATCCAGTCTAAAGCTCTTCGCATTGTAACTGGCGCCATGAAGTCAAGCCCTATTAATGCACTCCAGGTTGAATGTGTGGATCCTCCTTTAAAACTAAGGAGACAATTTATAAGTGATAAATTTCTATTTAGAGGTCTTCAACTTTCTGTCCACCCTCTTTTTAACAAGTTACACCATTTATTGCGTAAAATTAATAATTCGGCATATTGGAATAACAAGTCGCTTCCTTGCTTGGTAATCAGTTACATTAAATTTACTTCACTGCTAGCACCCACCCACCGATCACAATATCTTCCTATTTTTTCTATTAATTATGAAGCTCTTACCATTTCACCTAAAGTAATTTATCTAGACTCTTTACGTAATGATAAAAATGCTAATATTAATCTAATGAGTATTGTTAATACAGAATGGCCAGACTGGCATTACATTTACTGTGACGCATCTAAACATCCATCTACTGGGATAGTTGGAATCGGTGTTTACCACCAACAGTATAAAATAACACAAAAAATTAAATTACCCCCAGAAACCTCAGTATACACAGGAGAATGTTATGGAATCCTTAAATCATTAGAATACATTTTGCTTGCACAACTCAAAAAGACAATTATTTTTTCCGAAAGCACTTTACAGGCAATAGAAAAATTTCCCTTTAAAGCTTCTTCCTCTAATGCTTATTTGATCGATTGTAGGAAATTATTACTGAATTGTACTTTGTAGAATCTAAATGTGCTCTTTGCGTGGATACCTGGCCATGATAACATCACTGGCAATGAAGTAGCTAATAAACTCGCTAAAGATTCAGTGAATTGTGGTGACGTCTTCCCCTATAAAAATTTAGGTAATGATCTTCTTTTACTTCCTAAAGTGCATCTACGCATATATTGGGAAGAAAATTGGGATACTAGTAGTCGCAGCAAAGGTAAACATTATAAATTAATTCAACAATGTATTCCCGATAAACCATGGTTTTCTAAAATTCATTTAAGTAAGTTTGCCACATCAAGTCTCATAAGAATGCGCCTAGGTCATAACTGTTCTTCTTCCCACCTGGCTAAACTGGGCATAGTAAATGATAGTATTTGTGCTTGTGGTACTGGAGCAGAGGACTTTAATCACATCTTCTTCGAGTGTCCCCTCAACGATTCCTCCTCTTTTATGGATTCATTAATATCCCTTAATGTACCTCTCCCTACTTCTATTCCTTCCTTAATGTATTATAAAAATTATAATATATATAACAAGCTATCTGAATTCCTGACTAAACATAATATAAAATTATAAGTAATTTATAAGAAATAATATAATGTATTTTATATACTTAAAAAGACCTATTACTTACGTTTCAAATTAATTTTACGTACTTACCTGATCCTAATCCTTCCAAATTCCGTTTCACAACCTTTTTATTTCATTATTTTGGTTTCCTTACCTTTTACCCTGTCGTGGCCAATGCACAAACCGTGCGAGCCATTATAATAATAAAAAAAAAATTAAACATTTTTGACTTATCACATGATATAATAACGCATTCCCGGTATGACTATTTTGACCTTTTTTTGTTTAAATCAAATAAAACATTAGTATAAAAAGATAAATACGCTAAATGCCGTGTAATTATGCACAGAACCTTTATTTTGAAATAATTATTTTGGTAATATCATGTTATTTTATTCAGAAAAACTTTGTCAGAAGCATAATGCTCACCTCTCTGATTTTAACCCATACTTGTAATAACAGTGTAATGTGTTTTAAATAAAATAATGGCTATGTTCAAATTGCGTCGATATTTTTATTCCATTTTCTTTTACAAATTATTTTAAGACTTCTACTAAAAGCTTATACATATAGAAAAAAGTAAGTTTTGATTTGTTTGATTCGGTAAAATTCACTACCATGTTAATCGTTCTGAGGGACCACAGTAGTTATATATTTTTTCTCTTTGATGGATTGTGGTTTTTGATTTAGTATAATCTACAATTTTCCACTAAATGTCTGTAATCACATTACCTCAGTTCAATAGATACATTGAGTGAAATTTGGCTTAAGGCTTGTGAGGACTTAGGGAGCACACTGAAAGGCATGTAGTTTGTAATTATTTTTTTACAAATCCCAAGTCTCATTCTACAATTGTTTAAAGACATCTTCTAAATCCTGATAACTTTATTTTTAGAAATTCAACTTGGTCCCTCAGTTCACACGCACATAAAATTTCCTTTCTTAGTGTTCCACCATTCATTCCAACTATACATTTTTGTAATGGAAAAACTCATGTTGGTTTCGATACCAATCAAGTTCTTTCTCTAGCAGATACAAGAATAATGAAGTATTGTTTCATTACATTGAAGGAATAAACAAGTCTTCAAATAAGCCAAAAATATAAACTGTGCTATAGCTATAGGTGCACCGCACACCAGGGGGCCAATCGCCTAACTGGATTGCTTAAGAAAACGCTATCGCTTACGATTTCATTTAGTTATTTCTAGCCGCCTGAGGTTTTCAAATGCCTTGCGCTCTTTTTTTTTCTTTTGCATTGGTAATAACAATGTTAAAGAAAATGAGCGTGAGGTATTTGAAAACCTTCGGCGGTTAGAAATAACAAAATGAAATCGTAAGCGATAGCGCTTTTCCAAAGCAATCTGGTTAGGCGATTGGCCCACAGGGGGGCCAATCACCTAAAGGCATTGCTATGGCTATCGCTATCGCCTACGATTTCATTTTGTTATTTCTGACCGCCGAAAGTTTTCAAATACCTTACGCTGATTTTCTTTTATATTGCTGTTACCAATACAAAAGAAAAAAATGCGGGGAATTTGAAAACCTCCAGCGGTCAGAAATAACAAAATGGAATCATAAGCCATTAGTAATCCCGTTAGGCGAATGGCCCCCAGGAGAGGCGCGGCAAAGATACTACGCGTGGCGATTCGGAGAGCGCGACCTATACTTTCAACGTGGTCATTCCACGACTTTGACCGCAGCCTTGACACAGGGAGCGGAGTAGCCGCGCGTCAGCTCCATGTTTGCCACGATACTTTTAACCTTATCTTGTAGGAATTAGGATTGATCTTAATTTCTTAATTTCTCAGTTTCTTCACTGCATTTTCTTAGCAAGCTTGCAGCTTTCTGCACCAATTGCACCATGAGCGCCATCTAGCGTTTTTTTACAGTACTGCTTTGTATATTAAAATATTTTTTATTTTGAGGTTACCATGATATATTTTAAATTAAATAGGTAATTTTTCTGTTAAGCCATAACAACAACAAAAAAGATAAAAAAGAATATTAACACTCCAAATATTTTAAACATTAGAGCCCTGTTCCCAGTAACACTCTGAAAATACTTCATGATTTCTCTATGGCCAGCTTCCACATTCATTTCTGCCTCCTGTATATTAGCATCAATTCTACCAATAGCTTCATCCTGCTCTTTTACCATATGAGCCAGCTGTTGAAATATGCCTCCAAGCTCAACGATTGTGCTTTCAATGTTATGCATTGTCTCAGCCCTTTGCTGCACATATGAATCTGTATCATCCTTTAATGCGAATTGCTGCGTTTGAAGACTAGTATCAGCATCACCAAAATCAATACTAACTTCATTTTGTTGCAATAAAGAAGGAACCTCTGTGACCACTGGAGCTACTCTTGAAAACTGTTCTCTTCTATTATTTTGGTGTTTCAAGTTTTCTGATCTTACTTCAAGGACCTACAACACAATATTACTGATATTGTATTATAAAAAAATATTAATGATAATCATTCTAAGTGAATTGCCCTGTTCACATTGGTATTTAGTATTAGGCATTACATTGGCCTAATCCTAAATACCAATGGGCCTGATTCTGACATGATTCTCTAAGCCTTAAGCTAAAATTGTCATTTTTGATCCCTCATTAATTATCCTCATCAATTCAAAAAGGTAAAGACTTGTAAGATTTAGTTTGCTTAGAGAAACATGTCAGAATGTTAAGTATAAGTATAAGAAACTTTTATATTTTTTTATAATAAACAAATAAATATTTCTTACACTCACACCAATAAGCCTAGCTCAAAAGTAAGCACAAGCAGGCTTGTGACAAGGATACTAAGGTAATGGATAGTAATACATATCAATAGTGGAAAAGCAAAATCTTTTAAACACCACTTTAGTAACTTTATAGAAATGAGATACAAAGTTTCATTTCAAAAAAATCAAACAAGTTAAATTTTGGTGTTTTGTGAACCAATGGTGCTTACGCCCTACTATTTGGCATATGATTTGATATTTGCTTGATATCTTAAAAAAAATACTTGCTTAAGCTTCAAAAAAGTACTCAGATCTTCATGAAATATAAACAGATAGAGACAGGAAAAATGTCTGATTTAAATGACATAATATAATGCATTTTCTACCAAAGTAGCATATAAGCGATTTTGCTTTCCACTGTCAATATAATAATACATGGATAAGTGTATTTTTATAAAAATATAATATAAACAACCATGACTCAGGTATAAATGGTTATTTTCACTATATAAACATTTGGCTCTACTGGAATTTGAACTCAGCACTTTAGGGAGTAGGTGACACCTTGAAAACTACCACATAGGTTGTCCAGTGTTTACTTTATACCTACTTTCGCTTTTCTTTAATTTTTAATCTCAGTGTTAGGCATGGCTGCCTGCTGTGGATTTTGATGGGCAAGAATATCATAAAACAAGCTTTAAGTTTTAGAGAGGTAGGGCATAGCAAATTTTCTGTTCGAATTGGAGCGCCCGTCTAGGTTAGTAACATTTACTTTACAAAAGACCACAGTAACACTAAATTTTGGTGGTGTTTTGTTACTATTAGTTAGTAAGATTTCAGAGCTCCACAGGGTATGGGATTGGGTCAGGGTAGGCAACAATCGTGATATTTTTTGTTAGCTTCTCTATGCTCTGGTGGCTGCTTACTATCAAGCAGACCATATGCTTGTTTGCCATCCTATTATCATAAAAAAAGTTTTACTATTCTCCAAAACATACCTGTTTAAACTGATTACTCATAGAAGCAAGACGAGATTGTAAAGCCACAACAACACTAGATGAATGGCTGTGCATACTACGCTTGCCTTTAGGCATTTCCCCTAGTCGAGCTATTTGCTGGTTTAAAGAACTCAGATCTCCTTTTATAATGTAGGTCAGCTCTTGAATTTCAGTTGGACGATCATCAAATAAAGACTTCTTCTTAGCCACTGAAAAAAAATATGTACACATAACTCTTGTTACTGCAATATTGTAATATTGAAAACAAACATACACATTTTAGTACAAATTCAAGTCAAATAAACCTTTGTCTGATTTAAATTGCTCTTTTATTTAAAATTAATAGCATAATGTTTAACCCCATTTTATGATAATATGTCATAAACCACAGAATTGTTTTATATTGTTTCATGTTTATACTTTTACTAAATTCTGCCAGCATCTTGTACTTAACACTTATTGTTATTAAAAATCTTTTAGGGTTAGACAGTGTAAGTGTCCAGGTTGATACTTTTGTCCAATCTCCTTTTATCATTCTTTCATTTTCTTTATTTCTATTATTATTATGAGAAATTGCCTGGTTTGATACATTTAATAATTAAGAGGTTTAATGCATACATATAAGGCAACTGATACAAATAAGGCCTACCTAATTTCAAACACTCATATCATGATAAATTATTTGAAGAAGGTGATAAATAAAAGCAAGGCATTTTTCCTTGGTGAACCAAAGTTAAATTTTAAGTAATTAAGAAAAACATATTACAATCTATTATCAGAAATCACTTAAAAAGAGCTAATTCTGGAACCTAAGCCTTAGGCCTTTTAAAAACATAGTAACTTAACAAAGCCTATGTACTTAAATTATAGGAATATTGTATTAGAGTATAAATTATATTAAAATATGTATTTCTGAGCCTTTAATCAAGTGTTTCCATGGGTTCCTTTCAACATTCTATTTTACTAAATATTTTGCTTAAATTGCTAGTCAGATTTGAAGTCGGATATTAACAAGAGATAAAGAATAAAACAAAAAACATATAAATACAAACAAAAATTAGCAAAATAACATATCTTCTCATTAATATCATTAAATATTGGAAAATGAATATATTTTAATAGATATATTTGATAAAAATAAGGCCTTTTATAAAAGTAGGCTTTATTTAGAACATTATACTTCACAAAAGTTATAAGTAGTATATAATTTTCATATTCTAAAAAGTTGAATTTTAAATCATAGTCAACTTTTGATTAGTTATATTGTGATCCCTATACATTACATGAAACAAAACTTCAAAGAATAATGTATTAAAATTTGTTAAAGATTACAACAAATTAATAATGCGCTATGAAAAACTTGTCCTTCACAAAGTACTGCCACTACTGACACTATGAGCTCGAGCGCACCGCTCGTACATAGTTTGCCGAATTGTAGAACTGACATCTATGCGTGTGTAAAGTTTTTTTGATGTAAACATATTATAATAGACTTTTCTGTACTACAGGCCTTATTTCAGCATAGGCCTTATTTGTATCAGGTACCTTACAAAAATTTGGTATGTTTAATTACATACCATGTTAACAACAACCTATTATGAACAATAAAATGTAAGCTGCATCCGACTTGTTGTGAATTTTTATTAAGCTTGATAATGTGTTAAAAATTAATAGGTAATTTTAACTCACATAATGCCAATTTCTCCAACTTAGCATATGTACTTGTAATGTTTTTGCTGATAACCTTTGCCATACTCATGAATTGAGAGTAAGTTTCCAGGATTGCTGCTTTTTTTTCATCTCTAATCACAGGTCGAGTCATCGTTCTACCTTGTAAGCTTCGTACAGTCGCAATAAATTCACTTGTACGATCTCTCGCTGCCATTACGGTTTCAAATACAAACTCTTCGAGGATATCAAAATTGTAATCTCTCTTCAGCTGTATACCTTGTACGAGTTCGATAGATCGAGAATTTACTTGATTTTGTCCTGTATTTGCTAGTGGTTTTACCGACCAACCTTTTTTATCCAATTTATCATACGTGTCTTCGGAATGTTCCGGCAACAGTCGCTCATTTACACTTCCAATGTTACGACGACGAGGAAGCATTGCATGCTAGTTCATATTTTCCATTAAACGAAAATGTAAATTTGGCATATAGGTAGGTAGGTATACTTTGACCTTAAAAATTAAAAAAACTTTTCACAAGTTGTTTCACCTTTTACTTTTTCTTTTAATATGGCATGACGGCTATTTCTTTTTCTTGTTTTTAATACCATTGACAAGATAATGATTGACACGACACACTAATGTTGCCAGGGCGAGTCAGTGTGACCAGAATACATTTTCTGTGACAAGTGTTTATGGTTTGGTCTCATTACGTGACGATTCTGCCAATGTCTGGGTTAAAGGAGACAAGGTTTATGCTGAGCCTGTACGGTTTCGTTGACGTTGTGCAGTATGACGACAGCAGACTCGTTGAGTATTTGTCACTGATGCCAGATTACGAGGATTCACCCCTAATTTGGGGGGTTTTTGAAGCGATGGGGGGATTAATGGGGGGGAAGAAATATGGGTTTAGGGAGAAACGGGGGTTTTTCATTACATTTTTTATTTAAAAATAATAAGAACTTTATAAACTTTTAATCTGTAAAAAGTCACGATCAACCTCTACTTCTTTAATCATTGCGATCAACAGTCGAAATCAACATTATCTCTCTCTTATTCTGTAAATAGCATGACAAGGATAGACTGTCGTCGAATAGGCTAGTTGAACCTTTTTGGAAAAAGGTTTTAAATGGTTAATAAATGTTATATTAGACCGGAAAAAATTATTGTATTTTTTTGAGACCTAGAAAGCTACAAATCTTCAATTTTAAAATAGACTTTTCATGGACATACAAAAACGCTGTCGGCCATTTTAGTCTATATCTATGCTATGACGTCGACGGTAGTCATGGAGCACCCCCACTAGAGTCTGCATATAAGGCAAGCGCTTACGCCAAGCTTAAGTAGTATTTTACCTATGCGTGAGGCACGCCCACAGACGTCGCGATACATCATTTCATTTGGTAACCGAGCGTCGGTCGAACTGCTTCTCTCGTTTTCGTGTTAAAAAACTGTAAAAAATGCTGTTCTATGCAATTCAATTGTGTGGAAAGTGGAGTAAAACTTCCAGTCTTCAAAAATATGGTATTACTTTTCACCGGTAAGTTATAACATTACAAAAATACTCTTATATTAAATTGCTGTTAATTGTATTTATTTTTTGGTGAACGCGTTGATGTCTTTGTACATTGTCCCTTTCTCGCATGCGCTACATCATTATATGCTATCCCGGTCTCACATCGGCACGTGTATTGCTAGTGACGCAGCTCATGTCTCAACCCGTAAGTTTATCGATAAGTTTGTCAGCTATGGAAATGGAAAAAATAAATAAAAACTACTTATTTCATCGTATACAATAACAGATGTCATGAGTATACATACAACCAACAGTTTTTATTTGGTTTCAAAAATATCCTACTAAAATATGAAAACGCGAAAATTTGTATGGATATTTGTTACCCTTTCACGCTAAAACGGTTAAACGGATTTTTTATGAAATTAAATGCGCATAGTTTTGGAACTAGATAAAAACATAGAATTGAAGTTATTAAATACCCTGGATACACCATCAGCGCTCAAATGTGTCCCAATCAAGAAGTGCTTGAGCTCCTCTCAAGTACTTCTTGGTTCACAGTAACGCGCGGACCGCTGAAAAGTCAAGATGCCGCAAAGCTCCGTGAAAAAATGCGGAAAAAATACTAATAGTACGTAAAGTGCCGTTTTTTCGACAGGTATCTAGTTAATGTTTTTTTTATTTAACGTATTTGAAACAAATTTTATTGTTGTAATACTTACTATAAGCTGATTGAATATAAAATATTTGTTATATTCAAATGCATGGTCGGTTATACGAATACGTCGCCGTATAGCCGTCTCTTTTCTTTGCGGTCTGTACCTGCTATATTGCTAACAACGCATTCAGAATTGCGCGCGAAAAGTCAAAAACATAAGGTCTATATTCTTCCGCAAAATTTTACGACCTTGCATTTCGAAATGTCATAAGTCTTTGACGCATGCGTTTTAATTAAGACTTTTTAAGGAATGCATTAAAGGTGACTTTCAATCAATGTTTAAATAATGTATTATATGATATGACCTCTTAAAATACAGTAATATAACTCCATTACCCACTTCTACGTGTGTCTAGCGACTTGTCTCAGGGTTTTGATTGCTATTTTCATGAAACATCACTTAAAAAACGATAAAGAGATACCAATCCGGATTTTATTACACCTTACTGGAGCGATAGGGTTCAGTGAGTTGACATCATTGGCAAAAAGTTCAGGGCTAGTCGGTTGTGATAGGAATTTCGCAGACTTCAAGCCATGGTCCTTTTTATTTTTAATGTATACCAATGATTTAACTTATATTGTAATTATTTTATACTTGACTACAAGAAAAACCCACAAGATACTCGACTATAAGCAAACAGTTCTTGACAACGTGAACAATTATATCACTGGTTCAATGTCAATAATCAACTACCTAATGAAGGAAAAACTAAATGTTAAAATTTTGTATTGCGGGTTAATATTAAACGGGTAAACATCAGGGTGGGGTGCCCACTCATATTCTTTAAAATTGATTTATAATACTTTAATAAGAAGCATTTTAGAATACGGCTCCTTTTTGTTAGAACCAGCAAATATTACAGCCTTTCGAAAATTGGATAAAATTCAGAGTAAAGCCCTTAGAATAATAACGACAAGTTCTACATCCGTACAATTCAATATACTAACCATCCATTGCTTTCTTTACTTAAAGAACTCAATGTAAAATTACAATCTTCTAGTTACTGGACTAATAAAGCCCTGCCATGTCTTCTGGTTAGCTACCGAAGATTTGTGTCTCTTTCAGCCCCCACTTTTAGTTCTAATTACCTTCCTATATTTAATGTGCAATTTAATGCTTTAACTTTCCTTCCTGTCGTGCATTATGATTTAGTTGATAAGTACGACTTCAACGTTAAATTAAATTTTGAAAATATAATTAATACGGTTTATAAAGACTTCCACCTTATATTTTGTGATGCTTCTAAAACTTCACCGTCTACATGTGTTGGAGTAGGAGTTTATCATTCTCAGTTTAAAATAGTACGGAAAGTTAAACTTCCTCCAGAATCCTCTGTTTATTCAGGAGAATGTTTCGGTATTTTTAAAGCAGTTGAATAATTTTAACATAATTATGAAATTAAAATCTGCAGTAATATTTTCAAATTCAAAAAGTGCCTTACAATCATTAGAAAAGTTCCCATTTAAACTAAAAAAATATTCTCCTATTATTTTTAATATAAGACAAATGACACAGGAGTGTATTGAAAATGGTATTCATATAGAATTTGCGTGGATTCCTGCCCATATCGGTATAACTGGTAATGAACTAGCAGACAGTCTAGCTAGAGATGCTGTATCATGTGGCGATGTTTTTCCGTTCCAGAACTATTGTTTAGATTTATTAGCTATTCCTAAATCTGTATTGCGTGAAGGATGGGAACAAATGTGGAAATTTAGCAAACTATCCAAAGGTAAATTTTATGCTGCAATTCAGGCTCACATTCCTTCTAAACCTTGGTTTTTCAATATGAAGTTTGATAAGACGGAGACGTCCATGATTAATAGAATGAGACTGGGCCATTCATCTGTGCCTTCCCATCTTGCCAAAGGGTGCGGCCAGAGTGCACTCAGATTCAGAAAAAGCAGGCAACCTGCTTGGACTACACTGTTTATTTCTCGCGCTTATTTTCAGAATCTGAATCTGACTCTGAATCTGAGTGCACTCTGGCCGCACCCAAACTCAATATAATAAATAATCCTAGGTGTGACTGCGGGTTCGATGAGGGAAATGTTGATCACATTGTGTTTTCCTGTCCTCTGTTCCATAGATCCTTACTTTTTAATGACTTATCATCACTTCATATACCATTCCCGACCAATATAGCTACGCTTCAACATACTAATGACCTATCTGTGTATAAATGTATTATATCTTTCCTTCTACTCAATAATATAAAACTTTAAATGTAAATATGTATATTTTCTACAATCCTGATCCTTTCCAAATTTCGTAACGTTTCCGATTCCTTTTTTCCTATATTGGTGTCAATTCTGGCGTGATTCTCTGAACTTAAAACTAAGGTCAGTCTCACCTTTTCATTCTGTATAGAGAAGGACAAGGATGCACTGTTGTCAAATTTAAGTTTAGCTTTAGAGAATCATGCCAGAATCGATATCACTGTTTCTTTAATTTTTACTTGACATTGGCTGTACGCACAAACCGTGCTTGCCACAAAAAAAAAGAAAAAGAAAAGTCTGCAGGAAAAAGCGCGGGAAACCTTCAACTGCGGACGTATTTTTTGGCATGATTTTTTATTTATTTCTATTATTAGTCATTGGGATCAGATAGGTCCTTAGTTTAGTGTATATTTTAATATTTATTAGTAGTGTATAATTATATTCGCTGTATTGGTAAGTTTTTAACATTTCTTACGTATGAATGACCCTTTAGACCCTGGGGGGACAGCCCCCAGGTGTCGCATATTGTTACAATTTCATTTGATTGTAATGAAAAAGAAATGGAAACAGAGGGCTCTTTAATTGACACTGATGCTTCTGGTAACAACTTTAATAACAACAAACGTAAACGAGTCTCATCCCGAAAAATTTGTAAGTATTGCAACAAAAAGAGAAGGCATTACAAATCCTCCTCAGTGGCTTTTAATAAAAAAGATTGTCAGTGTACTGACGATAACAGTCATTTTGAAGAAAACCTCCCCACTAAATTTAAATCTCCCAAAATTCCTACTGCTCCAGTATCACAAGAAATAATAAATGTAAATAATTCAAATTCCTCTCCTAGCCAAGTAAGTAGAAACCTGTATCAGGCATCAGATGCCGCCCCGTATATTATACATATTCAGAGGGAACAGACCAGTGCTAGTGATAATACCTCTATTCACCCCATTTCGTTTGGCCATTTCCTCAAAAAGAACAACATTAAAAATATTATCAATGGAAGCCTTAAAAGAATTGGAAGGAATCGGTTACTTTTGTCATTTACTCATTTTGAAGATGCAAATGCTTTCATTGACCATCAAGCTTTGAAACAGCATAACTACAAAGCATTTATTCCTAGTTTTAATATTACTCATATGGGGTTTGTAAGAGGTATTCCCACTGAC